TCTGTGCCCAAACTCACCTGTGACAGATGCGTAGTCATTAGGACTCTGGAAACCTGAGCCTTCTGCGAGGGTTGATCTGATGATGCCACCATCTTTTCCAGGGGAGACATCCTCTCCTAAGGAAAAACAAAAAAATCACCAACAAAAACAGCATTAACCCTTAAAACCCTGAATTCTTTTCTTTCATACCTCCCTAGAATCCTGAATTAAAATTGAGATACTAGAAAAAATTAGGTTGGTTCATTGTTTTATTTACTGTGTCTTTAACTGTTGTTAGATTTTACTGAAGTTTGAAAATGTTATTTATATATGAATGCAGTCTGGACAAAAGGTTAAACTTGTGTGTGATCCTTGACTCCACTTCAGTCAAAGCATCATTAGACCCAGCCGTAGATCTAGCCTCTGGTAGCTCTGGTGGTGATCCCCTGCCACTTCCACTATCGTCAAAATCATCATTGATATTATGCGGAACATTGCAATCGTCTTCAATGGTCATATTTATTGATATATCTGACTGGGAGATCATTATTGGGGTCTGGTTCATTATTCAAAATGTCAAACATTTTGCGGCAGTGAAAAATAACTAATTTTTCTTAGAAACTCGCAAAATTTCCCAACTTTCGGTATAGAACTGCTCTCATGACATTATCTGTACTTTCTGCTCGCGACAGAGTCATCTGGAGTTTTATATCCCCTGTTTCTAGCACCGGGAATTAAACGATAAAGTTGACCAGCGGTTACCAGTGGTATAGGAAAATACGACGTCAGTGGTTACCAGCGGTATAGGGTTTTAAGGGTCAAAGAAAATTTTGGGAAACAATTCTCTCTGGTGTCAAACATTTTCATAACAAATTTTAACGACAGTAAAAAAGATCTTCAGTAACAGTTTTTTAAAAAGTTGTTCAAGCTAACTAATTAACCTGCTCTAATGGCCACCTGTCCAGGATAATCACTTGTAAAAGATGATCACAATGGATTTCATTCATATTCTGATATCACAGCCACAGTTAACTAACAGTACATGAGTAGATCTAGGCTTAACGAACTCTGTGGACATTCGGTCGGCCTAGATCTAAGCCTACTTCTTTCATTACATGTATGGCCACCAATGATGTCAGGCATAAAGAGAAAATGCCTTTCAATTGACAAAATATATGAAATAATCCACGCTGTTGACAAAAAGCAAGCTCCACAGGCAGAGATTTGTCGTCAGTTCGACATTCCACAAGGGTCGATTCACACCATTACCAAGGACAGAGAGAAGATAGTGACAGCATACTCCAAAGGAAAGTTTGCTCTGGATTGAAAGAAGATGAGACTACCCGATGCAGATGTTGTGGACCAAGCTCTTCTGATGTGGTTTAAGGAGGCAAGGAGAAAATTGGTGCCAAAACCCCTGTTCGTGGGTACTTGTGGCAAGGGAAACTACCCATGAATAAGTACAGCTGGATTAGTCCACAGCATTTCTGATCGGATATAACGGGACTTTTTCTCAACTCCCACCATCCCTGTTATATCAGGTTTCCACTGTAATCTTTTAAAACTCTAAAACACAATAAAAACGAATTTTTAAAGTCAATCCAAGGGTAAAACTCAAAGATCAACAGACGATAACAGCTAGCAGGGCACGCCCATACAGTCTGCTGTTTACATAAACAAGCTTGATTTGAGCTAGAAGTTACCGTTTTTACTCCGTTTTACCAATCAGAGCTGTTTACATTTCAGACCATTCATGCTCGAAAAGGGGTCAAAATCTTAAAATAGATGTGAACGAATAACGTTGGAACAAAGACTCTCCACTAGTTAAGAATCTTTGGTTTATAAGCAAAGGTGGCCACGAGGTAAAGGTTAAAAAAATAATCTCACACCTACACACTAGCAAGGTCCAAATTCCTTTATCTCGTCACCCAGAAACTCACAACAAACCACACATAACTCCAAAATAAATCAAAATAAAATTATTATAGTCGATTATTATAGAAGTTCATTTTTATATTAAATGAAGCAGAAGACATCAAACTTACAATATATCCAAAAAACAAAAATTTCATGGATAGTCACTTTTTTGCCTTTTGAGCCTCGTAGCTGATAATACTGTCCTCATAGAATTATGCAAATTTAGAAGGCCAAATTATGCACCAAAAAAAAGCAAAATTATGCAAAAATTATGCAAGTTACTGTAACACCATTCGTGACATGTTTTGAACTTTTTTAACAAGAATGTTCATGTTTTATGTACAGAAAAATTGAAAACAGAACATATCAGTATCAATAATTTGTTGTGTATTTGGAAAGAAAACAATACACATTCAGTCAGAAAAAAACAACCAAAAAATATAATCTCTGTAACTTTCAGCAATAGATCTAGATCTATAGAGGAAAGAAAAATGCAGACAAAAAGGACATCTGGACCTCTGGTGCTGACACATTACTAAAATTAGGGACACCTGTCAAACAGGAAACATCTGCAGACAAGAGAACAAGACAACTTTTGATGGATTGAAAAATTGAACATGCTCAAGACTCAAGGAACAAAATTGAAAATCCCAACCCATAACCAAGATCTTCTAACAAGGGAAATAACCAATTTTTCACTTAAATGAGACTTATTACGGTGACTACTTCCCTTTAGTCACATGGTGAGGCGTTAATTGTTTTGTGAAAAAAAAAAAAAACGTGAAAAAACGTGGGGAATCCAAGATTATGCAAATTTTGCAGAATTACGCAAAACAACGCGGATGCACGATCCTACGAGGACAGATAATAGGACACTGCGTCTCACAATTGATATTGACCGATTGAGACAGAAATATATAATACAGTAGTCTGCGCCTAAGATCCTGGTGCTCGGGAGCAAGGAAATGCAGGATCTTAGGCGAACCGGGATCTTAACCGACGAACCCAGGGAAGAATCTATGGTGACCCATGTTAAGGCTCACAATCGGTAAAATTGTCTCCCTCCACTCTAAAATGAACTGACATGACCCCTTGGTGGGTTTATGGCATATGGGGAGCAAAGAGTGGTTAACCTTGATGACCTATCACAGTGCATGAAGCGTACCATTTTCACTTATTATCCTATCATGAGTCTCAAGATCTACGCTTATCCAGTTGCCCCTCCCCTTTACCTGTTGAAAATTTATAGCTATCCATCTCTGACCCAGCTCCCCCCACCCCAACCACCTTTGTCGTTACACACCATTACGTTGCGAACACACAAATTAAAATTCAGTCTGTCTCGCAAGTTCGGGACTAGAGACAACTGCTGCAATGGTCAGGGAAGAGTTCACAGTTCGATGAGATCCCGCCTGGAGCGAACGCGTAGGCCCTACCCACCCAGCGAGTGATGTAAGTTTAGGGGGAGAGCTCAGGCGTGAGAGCGATGCATGAGGAAAATAAATGTGTCGGTCAGTTCACACCCCGGTGTGATCCCGTGTGGGGCAAACATTGTATCGTATCATCGAGTTTTACAACGTATATGTGATCACATTCACGAGAGTGGCTGATCTTTGACGCGACAGACAGTTCATTGATCTCAACTTTTCACTCTTGGTTGATCGGCTGTGCCCGCCCGGGGTTTTGTTCCGCAAATTATGATCTGAAAAGCGGGATCTTAGCTGAATGTAGACCTACAGAGTGAATTAGAGCGGGACCTTATGGGTGACTTTTATACATAGTAAAAATTGTTTTCTTAATTAAAACAGCGGGATCTTAATTGGTAACAAAACCTTTACAGCAGAGTAAGACATGATAGAGTATAAAACTCAATTTCTTGCGACCAGGTGTAAATATATATATATATACAGCAAGTAGTCTCCGCCTAAACGCACGGTGCTCAGGAGAGCTCCTTAGCATGAGTTTATACAGAGCGTGCGTTTACATGAATCTTTGCAAAGGGAGGAAGGGACGCAGTCATCTCATTTTCTTGATATTCTAGTGACCTCCCTTTGAGGTGGGGGTCTTTTTCAGCCGATAATGTGACGACACGTGACTGTTTTGTGAAGCATTCCCCGGCTGCAGTTAAGAATAAAAAGGCATTGAATGGGTGGGTGGGGGAGAAAGACTCAGCGTAATGAAAAGCACCGTAAAATGTCGGGAACAAAATATAGCCTAAGAAGAAACTGTTGGTGATAGTCACCGAGAAGACGGCCCAGCCACCTAGCTTTCCAAGCAACAACCCCCAGCCGTAAATAAGTTCTTCGAGCGCAGCTGATTAGGCTTACATGACGAATCTTTAATCCTACAGAAGCCTATCTAGTGTTTTACAGCATTCACGTGTGCTGCGCATTAGAGCCTGGGTCAAACTAAACATTACATGCAGTCACCCAAACACCAGTCAGAAACCTCTCAAAGATGCATTTCCAGTGACCAATCAATAAACATTTCAGTCCCCCAACCCCCAAACATTTCCCCGACCAGTCGTTGACCTTTTTGTCTGTGGAAAATTGAGTGTGTGAGTGTGAAAACGCTGCCCATTCACTCGCTTTGTTCGGCGTGAGGGGCTGACTTACTTACTACCCATTATGCCATCTGGCGTTTAGGGCAGCAACAAAGGATCTCCAGCAGTCTGTTTTGGGCCATCTTGGTCAACGTCCCCCACGAATGGGTCCAGGACTTCATTTCAGACTCTACTGTGCGTCTCCAGGTCACCTCGGGTCTGCCCCTCTTGCTATGTTCTTTGGGTGTCCAGTGGAGTGCAGTTTTTACAATAGTCTGGTTCTCTTCTCAGAACATGGGCGTGAGGGGCAGCCTCACCAAACATCCGGTTTTCTAGTCGCTGTCTTTCTGCAAGCTGAGCAGATTTAGTGAAAATTTCCCTTTGTCAAGCTTTACATGTTGGCGTATTTCGTGGATTGGAGCGTGCGCTCAGAGGGAGTCACTGTGCGTTTGTACATCAAAATTACATAGTAAAAAAACCCTCCAGATGACGAAAGCATTGTTTGAGCAGAAAGTGCTTTTGTATGACGTGTGTTTAGGAGACTACTAAATAACAAACAGAAACTGCCATTTCAAAGCTACTGCTCTTACCTTGCCATGAGAAGAGTTCTACTTCAAACACCAGTGTCGCATTTGGGGGGATCTTGGGAGGGGAGCCAGCGGCTCCATAAGCAAAGTCTGCTTTGCAGGTCAGCCTTGCAAGTTCACCTTTCCTCATAGAAGCCACACCCACATCCCAACCTTTGATTACTTGTCCTGCAATGAAAAGAGGAAATGGGAAAACAATAAATATTGCAGCATTTAATATGAACAGAGCTGTTAAAGTACTTTTTAAAAAGTACTTAAGTACAAATTTAAGTACAATCTAAAAAATGTACTTAAGTACAGTAAAAGTACTTTCCTATAAAATGTACTTGAGTACAAGTACTTTTAAAAAAAGTACTTATGAGTACATTTTGAGTTCTTTCTGCTAATATGCTAAAACACTTCAGCGCTTATGCAAAACATCATATTTTATAACTTATCCAGTATATTTGACAAATTAGGCTATTTATTACTAAAAATGTAAACAGTATACAAAGGATTTGAATATACAATGTACGCACTGAACGGTGGAAATGGTCCTTGAAGTTGAACAAAAAACAACCCAAACGAACAGACGCAACTAGTGGGTAAGTGATATTACGAATAGAACTTGTTTGAGCAAGACAATGTGATCAAATTATGTAAGTCAGTCCTAGAGGTCGGATAGTTCTACAGAAAGAGTATCCAAATTGAAAAATGTAGATACAAAGTTGCTCTTAAGAAAACATAAAATTGATGAAAATGGCCCGCATAGAAATGGAAAAGTGCATTGAATTCTTCATTAACAAATCCTCAAGGAATCAATGTAGCCTTAAGCAAAAACCGCCAAATAAAAGTTTAAAAGAGAAATTTAGGAAGCCTAAAAATTGTTAGATACACATTGAGAACACAGTTTCAGCTTCAATTGATTATAGTGGTCTGACAGATTTTGGTCACACTGTGTAGTCCACGGCGCCAACGGCAAACCAAAATACAATAGTTTCCTAGAGTCTAGTAAGTGTAGTGTAACCAAAGTTTCTCTACTGCAGTAGATCTCCACCTAAGATCCCAGTGCTCGGAAGCAAGGAAAATATGGGATCTTAGCCAACGAAGCCAAGGAAGAATCTACAGTGACCCATGAACTGACGTGACCCCTGGGTGGATTTATGACATATGGCAAGCAAAGAGTGGTCAACCTTGATGACCAATCACAGTGGCATGAGGCATGCCATAAATAATATTATTATATACACACTCATTATCGTGAGTCTTGAGATCTTTATCTACGTTTATCCAGTTGCCCCTCCCCTTTACCTGTCCAACAATTTTAGCTTTCCATCTCTGATTGAGTCCCCCCCCCCCCCCCAACCTCCTTTGTCGTTACGCACCATTACGTTGTGACCACACCAATTAAAATTCAGGTTGTCTCACAAATTCGGAAATAGAGAAAAACTGCTTTCAATGGTCAGGGAAGAGTTCATAGTTTGATGTGATCCCGCCTGGAGGGAACTTGTAGGCCCTACCCACCCAGGGAGTGATGTAAGTTTAGGTGGTGAGGTCAGATGCGAGTGCGATATTTGGGGAAAAGAAACGCATCGGTCAGTTCACACCTTGGTGTGACCCGTCTGGAGCAAACACTGTACCGTTTCAAGGAGTTTTACAACGCTTGTGATCACATTCACGATAGTGGCAGATCTTTGAGGCGACGGGCCCTTCTTTGATCTCAACTTTTAACTCTTGGCGGTTGATCGGGTTTTTGTTCCGTAAATTATGATCAGAAATGCCTGCACTTACCCTTTCATTAAGCTACCAAAGTACTCAAAATGTACTTTAAAAATACTCAAAAGTACTTTTATAAAAAGTATCGGAGTACAGTAAAAGTACTGGTTTAAAAAATGTACCGGAGTACAGTAAAAGTACCGAAAATTGTAACGTAAGTACAAGTACCGGAGTACTTGTACTCCGTTACTACCAGCTCTGAATATGAACGCCAGTCTTAAAAGAATTTGCATTCAAGTTAAGTCAGTCAAGTACTGTGTAAAGTGTAGGCTACACACATCCAGGCATGATTTTATAGAGACTAACACCAATTATACAGAGACTAACAAGCAAACTTAATCCTCTACCTTAATCACTAGAGCATAAGGTCATGCTGAAATATTCAGAGCTATGTTTTGAGAGCTGGGTAGATCTAAACTTGCTAGAATTAGAAACATGACAGCCTTTGAGCTCTGCACTCTTCTCATCAGTATCTTTGTAATACTATACACTGTTGTTTGTATCCCTTCCCTTGGTCGAGTTGACTGCTAGATTTACATCACAGCAGCAAGCAAAGGACAGAGGAGAGCACACTCACTGAAACTGCATAGTGTAAGTAATTGGTTAGATACACACTCAGGTCTATCATATGGTTTTAAAGAAGGCCGGCTCTATTTCTCCGAACGCTCGGGAATATAAACTTGAACTCTATTTCCACGAACGGTTTACGTTCTCGAGACTTGCTGGTTATTTGTGAATGGAGTGGTCCATGGCTGTGGTTGTGTGCGTGTGTGTGTGTGCGCGCGTGTATAAGGTGTGAACAGGGGGGGGGGGGGGGGGGGATTTTTCTTTTGTTTACGGGAAGGGTTTTAGTTTTTGCTTTAGGGATGACTAAATGCAAAATAAAAGGTTATTGCCCAAGTCGAGCGATCCTGTTTCCTCCAGTACCTTTTGAAGGCATTTTCAATATGAAGTATAGTCCGGGAATGTTGCCCCAACCCCAATTGACGTATCTGAATATTCAGACTTTAAAATCTGTAGCTCTAGAAATTGAAATCAAAAGTAAAAAATGTTTCTTCCTAGTCCTCGCAGAATGAAAGATGACGCCGAAATTTCGAAAATAACCAAAAAATCTAGAGAACGGAAACCGTTCAGAGAAATAGAGGTCAACTTTATTTTCCCGAGCGTTCGGAGAAATAGTCACTTAGTAAAAAAATCATTGTTGGACACCTATAATATTTATTCAAGTGAATACAATTTAATAATGTCTGGCTCTATTTTTCCGAACGCTCAGGAACATAAACCTGAACTCTATTTCATTTTTCCGAACTGATTCCGTTCTCGAGATTTGTTGGTTATTTGCGAATGGAGTGGCCCGCGCGCGCGCGCGTGTGTGTGTAAGGTATGAACGGGGGGAGAGTTGTTTACATGAAGGATTTTAGTTTTTGCTTTATTAGGGGTAACTGATGCAAAATAGGTTACTACCAAAGTCGAGCAGTCTTGTTTTCTCGCAGTACCTTTTGAAGGCATTTTCAAATGAAAGTATAGTCCGGGAACGTCGCCCCAACCACAATTGAAATATCTGAATATTCAGACACTTAAAAAATCTCTAGCTCTAGAAATTAAATTCGATGCAAAAAAATGCTTCTTCCCAGTCCTCGCAGAATGAAAGTTGACGCCTATATGTCGGAAGTAACCAAAAAATCTCCAGAATGGAAATCGTTCGGAGAAATAAGAATCTAGAGGTCAAGTTTATTTTCCCAAGCCCAAGTGTTCTGAGAAATAGTCTTCTTCTTCTTCCTCGTTCTTGGCGAGAAATAGTCACTTCGTTTAATAATGGCAGCCAGTATCATGTCGAGAAACAAATATTTACGCGCATTTTCACGACTTGTTTTTTTTCCCTTCGAACCAATCAGTGAACAGCTGGGTCATGCCAGAGGGTGTACATATCTCTGCCCTTTGGCCATGCCGGTCTTCCTTCTCTCACTCTCTCAATAAGAATAGCTGATGCGAATCCCCATCCCTTCGAAGTGGGACGAATTTTAAAATTGTATCCTCAGTTTGAGGAAGAATTTCGGACGTAGTGCAGTACAAAGTATGCTCTCAGCAAAAAATTACAAAATCAAGCTCAGTTGAAAGGTTTTGTATAGAAAAATGGAAGTCTTGTTTCCTGACTATCCTTTCGAGCTCCTCATGTCTAAGTGAATCAATTTCTTCTACAACTTCATTGGACGGACATCTAGAGCTACCAACTTGGCGCGTTTTGAATGAGACGTATGCCTCGATTACGAACCAACGCAGGTGGTTCTAGAAGAAGGCCAGAAATGCACACAAACTCAAGCAGACTGACGCACACACACTTGACCTGCGTGAATGGGGGTCCGACTAGGGACCCGAATTACCCGTAAGATGATGCGCGGTGCGCGTGCGCTGAGCCAGGGGCTACACCGACTCAGGACCAGAACGAAGGCGAGGTGCCGAAATAGGCTTATATTGGCGACATAAACCTGGCCCCCGCAGGACGAGGGCGTCGGTGGCCTAGTGGTTAGGCTTTCGGACTCGCAACCGTAAGGTCGTGGGTTCGAATCCCGTCAGGGACCCAACGTTGTGTCCTTGGGAAAGGCACTTTACACTAATTTTCCTCACTTCACCCAGGTGGGAATGGGTACCTGGCTATAGACAGCGAAAGATCTTGTCAGTTTGTTAGTGTTTGAGCGCTTAATCGGCTGCTTGCACTGTATGCTTCCCGGG